CTGGCTTTGCATGGAGATGTTAGATTAAATCTGCCAGCCATTTCATTTCATTTTTCCTTTCCTTCCATGACAGATGTTTTAAAATTCACATCACAGGTTGCGCAGACTCTGCAACCCGCTAACTAAATCAAGTCCTTTTTGGTTTAGGAATTGCTTGCGTCAACCGGGGCAAACACAAGACCTAAATAAATCATCGTTGGGGACGGCTGGAGGGAAGGGACAACGGCAGCCACAAACCCAAGAAAGATCTAAATAGCTGCTGGCACATTTTACTTTTTTTCCAGAGTTTGTATTTGCTGGAGGAACCAAGCTGTGCATAGAAGGGGTATCGGCTTGCAGGACAGCGTGTTGATCTCTCTGTGTTGATTCACCCCTCCTTTCTTGGCTCAGGCATGGGAAAGCTCTAACATTATCCATGGACACCCCTGTTTTATACCTCCCCGAGTCAGATCAGCTACACTTGAGGGGATGCCAACTCATCGCTCCAACCCCCAAGGTTCCCAAAGGGATAAAGGAGGTCTCAAAACCACCCAAGACTGGAAATCCTTAAGTCGAGGAAGAGTTTGGACCATCAAGCACCGAAACTGAGGCCCCGTTATGGAGTGTTACAGTCACACTTACATTGTGCAGCTTGTAGTAGAGCCCGCAGGCGTTACAGACGGGATCGCCGTTGGCATTTCTCCTCCACAGGGTGGTAGTGGTGGTCTGACAGTTCGCGCAGGACGTACCCGCCCTCCTGGCTGCAGACTGCGGGAGGGAGGGGGAGAGACAGGGGAAGAGAAGGAGTAGGAGAGAAAAGCACCCGTGTTAAAATAATAATAATAATAATAATAAAAAAGAAAAAGAAAAAGATGCGATCAGCAAAATTTCTCAGAAAGAAAACATCAGCCCTGCAAGACTGACGCACATCAGCAGAGGCCTCCAGAAACTGGCTTGTGAGAACAAATAATAATTCTGAAAAAAATCCCTGAGGTACTTTAATCCCAAATTATATATGAACTGAATCAGGTGCCAAAGGGCATCCTAAAAGTGAGTGCTAAACCTCTGATAGAACTCATCAAAATTAGCAGCGCTGGCACAGCCCATTCCAGAGGGGAAAATATTATTTAAATGCCAACATGTCTTTCCATCTTAATTCTCTCAGACCCCCCAGGGGTCTAATTCTGCAGTCAGGGCCTGAACCAACAATTGCCGGAGTCAACGGCATGAGTCACGCCGGCTCCAGCGAGCGCCGGGTGAGACCCACGCTGAGCTTGGTGGGCAGCTGCTCGCCGGGTCCGACCGCAAGCACAGCCCGGTCCCGTAAATTCAGCTCATCTTCAAAGGATACAGGCTCCAGATCGGAAATAACACTGTGGCAAAGAGCGAGAATCCCAACTTTTTAATTACACCCTTTTGCAACCTAAACCTTCATGTTTATTTAAGGATTGGTAATGAGCCTGAAAGAAGAATTTACCATTTCATAAAGGGGGAAGAACAAGAAAAAAAGTCTGTGCGTCAAGGTGTATAAAGAAGCTTTTTTGTTAGCTGCAATAATGATTTAACGAAGCCAAATTTAGCAAAGTCACTATGCTTTCACATGCATGAATTCGTACTTATCATTTAAAAACTGTAACTTTAGAAACAAATTGTCCTTCTGCCACTGAATGAGGAAAAGGAGTTTGCAGACTCCTGTGTGAATGCGTATGCATGTTTGCGTGTGTGCGAGTGCCTACAGCTCCCAAAAAAAAAGACCTTTAGATCCCGTCCTATCTCTTCTTCATCAATATGACACAGTCCCAGAGCTCTGATTTCATCCCGATGCATTGCTTTCAATGGGACTGCTCATGTGCTTAAAGTTAAAACATGTGCTTAAGCGATTTGCCAGATCATAGCAATGCTTGGCACCTTGCAGAACTGAGCCTTTAATGCTCTCTTTTGTGCTCTTACTGTTTCAAATTTACCCCTCACCCCACACAGCCGCACACTGTAGCACATCCAACATTTTTAAAAAAATAAAAAATACCGCATCTTTGGATACTGTACAACAAACCCAAAATGCAAACATGGACACTGGCACAGCGCTAGCGTTAATACCAGCTCTTGTTAGATCATGTTGCAATTTTAATCATAATTGAATGCGGCGTAGGTGGAGAGAGGACGGGTTGGTTTTGTTTTAGATAGAGCAGGATTTTTTTTTTTCGTTTAGTTAGACAAAAAGGCCTGTCTGAAAAATAAATAATACGGTGCCCATGAGCATTAGGAAGCATCACAGAGAGCCTGATCTGACAAGAAGAGTCTCTCCCCGGCTGCCCGTGGGGACAGTTCCATTTTGCCTGACCACAAACCACGCTGAAACAAGCCAATCTCGAGCCCAATGAGGCCTTTAGCTGACTTCTCCATGCTGGTGAGGAGCAGGGGCTGGGAACGGCACACGGGTCTTTGGTTGCAAAAACCCCAGCGCCATCAGGAGAAGCTGAAGCATCCCACCATGAACAGCAGAAGCCCCAACAGTGTGTACACGCATGCCCCTGTCGTGTCCTCCTCCAGACCATGCCACAGCCTCAAATTTGGTTCCCATCAAAATCGTGGCGTTGATAGACATGCTTTGAACACAACAACTTGCAGAGGGACAAGTCTGCAGGGCTTTGCCCCCCCCCCAGCTCCCACTGGCCCGCACGGGTAGCTCAGAGGCTGGGTTGAGTCTCACGATGGCAGCTTTGCCCTTATCAGACCCAAAAATCAAGCCTAAGGAAATTTCTAAAAACCAGTGATATTTGACTCAGCCCACACAGGGGAAACATCCCCTTTGAAGATATTTGGGGTTTCTACACAGCGCTCGCCATAATTTCTCTTGCAGCAAGTGCATTTGAAAGACACGCCTGGTCACCACCTTGCTGCCTTCAAACAAATTCCGACATTAAATACATGAACAAATCACAACATCCACTGTCTTCTCTAAAACCTTTTCCGTCCAGTGCGTTTCCCCTACAAAAATTCAGCGTCATTAGCTGAATATTTTAAACTCTGTGCTCTTTCGGTCCCGGGCTGTACCTTTTACGCTGTACCAACTTATACCAGAGACACCGGCAGTGGGCAGGAAACAATGAATAATAACGTTATTGTAAAAGCTCCCAGCAAAGGCATCCACTGACGCTAATCACCGACCCGAGCCCGGCCATGTAAGTTATGGGATGACTAATAGAGTGGCCCGTATCATCTGCAGGACCAGACCCCACGGCCCTGTTGCATGCGAGCAGGGGCACAGCTTCAGAAGGGCCGGCAGTGATGAGAAGGTGGAATTGAGGGTGGTGCAGAAGGAACCAAGCACTGATGAAGATATTTAATTAAAGGGCACTTTCAGTGTCCAGGTTGACATGGGGAACCCACAAAGCTGCAAGCATCAACTTCCTAAAATCAAACTGCACGTGCATAGGCCTTTGGAGAAACCGGCTACAATCCTTCCGAAACCAGCACGGCTGGACGCGGAAACGGAGAGCTCTGCACCCACATGGGCAGGGAAAGGAAGAAAATCCAAAGGAAGATTTTTATCTCAGCAACAGCAGTGACGGGGCTGCCACTGGCTA